TGTGGCGACTGTAGACAGAAAAGAAAGGAGGAGATGTTTCCCCCCCAAGAATCTTGAAAATTTCTGAGCTCAAAATGTCATAAATATGTGAGAATGATTTCAGAAACTTTGGGATTAATCTCAGACATTTTCTTTAAAAAAAATGCAGAAAGTTTTTGACTTTTGAAGCTCAGAAGATTTTCAAAAAGTCAAAAGTCTTTGACTTGTCTAGTTTGGAAAATGTCCAAGTTTTTTGGCGAAGATGTGCTTTTTTTTCTATTTCCAAAGTCCTTTTTGAGGCCGTTGTTCTCCAAGAGCCTGGAGTTTATCTTGTTCTTCTGAAAATGTCGTCCCTGAAAGGAGAAAACGATCTGGTGTCAACATTTTAACTTCAACCAGGTTCATTTGTTTCCACAGAGCTGCTCCAAAAGCTTCACAAGCTGCAGGATTGTTTCTGTTTTAATCTCAGACTTTACTGACTGGAAATGCTGGTTCTGCAGAGATTGATGCTCATCATTGTTTATTACAACAGCTATGCTTCTATGTCAACCTTGTTGTTAGGATGTTAATTAATACAGAATAAGCTCATAAAATTCTTTATGTCTTAAGAAATTCATCCTTAAAATGTCAGCTGTATATCTATTTATCGATTATCACTATTATAGATGCTAAACTTTTGTTTTGCCTCTTTCCCTCTTTTCTTTTGCTGCATTGACTTTTACTGGCAACTTTACAAGCAATGGAAAACTTAACTATGTTGCTCTCTAGCAGATTTTACCCATCATGTTTCTGACCAGAGTTTTTGAGTTGAATCTGGACGGATCGCAGTAAAACGCCACCGATATTTTAGAATATCTTGTTTTTTACAGCCGTTTGCATCATGTCTGTAAATTAGTACCTAATCTTTCTTGTAGAAATAGTGATAAACTTAGCAGTTTTCTTGTGTTGTGTGAACATGCATGATGCTGCCACAATCAAAACCAACATTATTAAAATGGATCCTTCATCCAAGGCTGCAGTTTTGGTTTTAAATTTTGGTTTCACTGGAATCACAAGTTGTCCAGAAACTGATTATTTCTTAAAATTAGGAATGAAAACATTATTATTTTCAGCAGCTTTTGAAAACAGTCTTTATAATTAACTTTATCCTAATTGCTGGAGAGTTAATGAAGCACCAGATTTCAGATTTAATCAGCATTTTAACATTTCTTTGTTAATTTCCAGCAACACTTTGTAAAGTTTAGAAAGTTGCTTTGAGTTGCCTTCTTCATTAATTTGCTATGACAAAAAACTTGCCTTTCAATGCAGCACGTGAATAATTAGCCTGGCATGAAGGAAGATATTTAATAATTCTTCCATTTCCCAGCAGCAGCGTGCGTTATCGCAGTAAAGAACATTCCTTGTTGCTTTTTGACATTGGACCTTTTGTTCTGTGATGAGTATTTTTAGTTAAGGCGCTGTTGGTTTTGGTTTCATGACAAAAGGCTTTTCTGTTCGGAGTCTGCAGATTCTCGTCAGGTACTCCAGCTTCCTCCTACAGTAAGAAAACAAAACAGCTTTAATGAAATAATGAAACTGCAGACAGAGCCGGCAGTGCACAGATAAATGAATGAACAAGACATCAGATGAATTACTCAGAGGAAATGTGGTAACATTGTGATAGGGAAAAAACGGAGGGAGTGAGACTAATCAACACGAAGAGCTGAACAAAAAGATCTACAAACTAAAGAGAAAAAAGTCTGACAATAATCTAAGATAAATAAAAACAAATACACAAACAACATAACGCTGGTCAACAGCCAAAACATGTCTATTGTATTTTATCTGTTTGAGGTTCTGAATCCAAAAATTACATTAGTTTTGCTCAATCAGCTCAACTGTCTGAACTATGGAGCAACATAAACATCAAAATGCAGCACTTGTTCTGACAGGTGGATCGTTTTCCTGACAATCTGGATCAGTGAGTGAAGAGCAGGAGGAGAAAGAGCCAGAGAAGATGTAACGTTTCACATCTACTTAACCTTATGAGAGATTATTATCCAATTTACAGAAATCCAGGTTTGTAACATTTTATTAATACACTCAGTTAAATTTTACTTTTCTCGAAACCTTTTTGGATGAGATATATTAACGGAAATTAACTGATAATGTCAGAAAAATGTCATGTCAAGTTGAGATTCAGCTGTGCAAAATAATTGGACAACTTCCAAAAACCCAGTATAATCTAAACACAAAGTAATGAAATCCTTTCCCATAGTAATCAATGTGGAGAAATGAATGAATTTGGCAAAACCCAGAGAACATAAATAGTGAGGAAATAATTAAATCACGAACACAAACAAAAACCAAAACACAATCACCAGTGGAAGGTTACAGTGTTTGGCTTTTTAAACTGGTTTCCAGTTATTTTTGTGCTTTTTTTCAGCTCCTCTGTATTTATTCATTTTTTACTTTGTCGTTTTCATCGACTGTTCAGTTTTCCCTTCATTATTTTATGTTATTAAACTCACATTTTCTTTTTTTCTTGTTTATTGCTGGTTTCTTTCATTATTTCCTTGTCTTGTTCTCCTCCTGCCATGACTGTGAATTTGTGTTTTCTTCTCATTAAATCTTTAATCTCCGATCTGCTTCCACAGACCTGCTACAGACTCACCAAACAACAAAAAGTTGATTGAATAAATTATTTCTAAAATGCAAAATAATAAAAAAAAATACATCAAGAAAGTAGGAAAGTACAAAAATACAGATATATGGCTGTTTTAACTTTAACTAGACAACTTACTTAAGCAATTTAATTACAATAAAATTTGTGAGATTATATTTCAACGTCTTACACAAATCCAGTATACTTTTGGGATTTTTTCTAACTGAATTGTGCAACTAGAAAATCTTTTCAAGGGGAAATCTGTCAAATGATTAATTTGTTTCGCTCTGAAAAATCGATCTTAATTCATTTATGTTCACAGTAGTAATTAGAGCAACAAAAAATGTGTGATTTTGCTCAAAAATGTCTCGCCTCAAAGTTTTGGTTCAATTAAAGATCATCATATTTAAGGGAATAATAGAAATGCCAAACATGTCATAAAGCTTAAACGTGATTTATATGTGCAGCAAAACTCAATTTAAACATGTTTTCATTGTTTAAAATACTGCAAGGTGACAGAAACAATCAAGCTCAACATGAATGTATTTGAAGTTTATTGTCTTTGTATTAGGGCTGATTATTGTTGTGAAAATTATTTTGTAACGTCACTGATCAAAAGGTGGATTACAGTCAGGAAAGGCTGACAAGGTTTCATCTTAAAGCAGTGGGTGAAAACTGAAAGAAAGTGTAATTTGACTAAACATAAGAACAGATTAATCAAAAATAAAATACTTTTGTTTTTTTAGTAATGCAGTGTGAATATAGTTTTATAAATTTCCTGAGGTTTTAAAATTCTTACCAGATATTTCTCTTTTTCAACTTGAAAGAGGTCATGTCTTTAAATATACAACACTTCTACTTCACAAATGCCGTCCTTACTATTATCTTCAATATATCACCAAGAAAAAACAACTCAACTCCATCAAGTTTCTCTAACTTGATTAATCTTTTAAAATCTTTTTAACCACCAGCTTGTATTTGATGTAATGAATGTTTTCTACAGTGCATCCCAAATGTTGTTGCTAAGAGTCTTTTGTTTATTTTACACCTCAGGTGTATCTGGATCTGTAAAGTATTTATATCTTCATTTTCCTCCAACTCATTTGAGGAAAAACTTAGACTAGGCCGTCCACCTTCCAGCCTGGATTGCCTCAATGCGCCCCCTTGTGGATGCTCACCTCAGACAAGTGAGGACAAAATTAAACAATTAATTCACCCAGAAAATGTTGCACAGCTGATGAATTTATTCACACTAAACATGTGAAATTGAACTAAAGTAGAATATAACCCATTAACTGACTTAATAAGGCAATTTTTCCTTTAAAGGAAACATTTCTCTGTCACTTAAATGGTTTTGCTGAATCTGTTGCATAGAAAAGCAGGTTGGCAGCTTCTGATGAAGAGGGAAGTTCTGTCCTCTAGTGGCTCGAATGGGGCACTGCAGGATGAAGGTTAAAGCCCTTTGACCCTTAATGCAAAGGATCAATATTGAAATATAGAATATTAATGAATATTAATGATTCTGATACGTTTTCCATTCAGATTTATGTTTGAGCTGATTATAATAAGGTGAAGTGAATCTATTCAAATGGCAGATTTAACTTTAAACATGGAAAATACTGAGACAGGGATCTCTAGGCCTCATGAGTTTAATACCAGACTATATTTATCACACACACAACCCAATCCAACACAGAGGCGCACATTTACAAAGACAGTCATGACATTTAGCATATAAACACTTTAGAACTGCTAATAAAATTACAGCATATAGTAATCTGATTCAATATAATGAAATCAAAGTGTCAGCAAAACTTCAGATACATAAAAAACTGCATTAATATTAAATAACAATTAATCAAATTCACCCACAGAATGATTTATTTTGTTCACTAAAACTTTGCATTTATTTAAATGCAAAGTTTCACAATGTCGGCGAGTTGAAAATCCAAATCTATATTTCCTTTAGAAAGGGGAAAATAATTGCTAAGAATTAAAAAAACACATTTTTATAAATCTTTTATTTTGCAGACAATAAACCCAGAGGACAAGTTAATTTAATTGAATAAACCAACTCAACAGCGCTGTTGTTAGTGACTTTTAAAAGTTTGTTTGAAATTATTACTTTTTTTAAACATTATCATCTTCATAACCTGAATCTGAAGGTTCGCTGTCATAAAAAGAGTTTAGCTTTTGAAGATTTGACTTTTGATGAGTTCATGGTTCTTTCTTGATATTGAGACATTCATTCACACACAAACATGGGCAAATATAACCAATGTTGTTTATTCAAGTATATTTTAATGTTAAGGCTTTGATAGTTTATTACGAGCGATGAATGAAATCAAAACAGATTTGAGTTTCTGGATTATGTGTGTGGATTTTGTTTGATATGTTCTCTGATTATTATCTTTGCAAATGGGCCGTTTGCAAAGACGGCCCATTTGATCTGAACTATAATCTTGTTGTATTAGATATATACATACATGAATCTGTCCACCTGACTCTGAGTGCTGCTGTGCTCACTTTGCAAAATATTCTTCTCTAAAGGATCAGGCCTCATTATTCAACCTGCATCAGGGAAACTGAAGAGGATTCATCCTCACCCTCCTGGGTTTGTTCAAACCCAAATGCAGCATAGAGTGGATCAGTGAATGTGGTCTGAAACGTATGAAGGTGAATCTTTTTCATGGAGGAAACTATGTCAGGAAGTGAGTAAAAGGACACCGTGCCTGCAGACCAGTCCAAATACACTCCCAGGCTGTTGGAGTTGGTGTTTTCGAACTGTTTTATTTCTGTTGGTGTGTTGTTGTGCCAGGCAGTGAAACTCTGAGGACTGCATGACAGAGCCCAGGACTGATAGTTCCCACCAATGCAGCACTCGTCACCCTCCCCCTTCCTCCTGATTCCTTTGTATGACAGTCCTATTCTGACTGTTCCTTCCCACTGGACCTCCCAGTAGCAGCGACCAGTCAGACCATCAGTGCACAGCACCTGCTTCCTGGTGTCAAACCTCTCTGGATTGTCAGGATATGGCAGCTCCTCTTTCACAGCCATCATCTGTTTGTGGTCCAGTGACAGTATCAGATTTCTGTTTGCTGTGTTGGGATCCACCATCTGCTCAAGAAAGACTGATGAACGACAAAAGACTGGAGTCAATACACATTTTTCTTTTCATAAATCCATATTTTCATTTTGGCTTTATATAGAAGAGTTTATATCTTAATTACTTATTTAGAGGTTCACAGGTAATGCTTTATAATCATATTAATCTCTTTTTTCTCAGATATTTTAGCCGATAACTTCAAGTTCTCTTGTGCTTTTTCCATGGAGGGCAGAATTGACAGACATTTTTAAAGACTCTTTTCTTAGCAGTCATTGAACTTGACAAGATTTCTGCCCTGATCTATTCTGCATCAATACTTTGAACATGACAGGTTTTCAAAATAAAGCCAATATGACAGAATGAAAGGACCTTTGATGTGGAGCTCAGCAAGTTTGATAAAATATTTCTACATAAAATGAATTTCAGGAAACTTGTTTTACAAAAATGTAGCAAATTAGCAGCATCTGGTTTCAGTTTTATTGTCAATAAATATTATTTATTGTTGGAAAGGCAGTTAATTAGAGCACTGAGAGATTTTTGGTTTGCATTGAATGTTTCTCATTTACTGTGTCAAGGTGTCAAGAGACTCCTGGTGGCCAACATTGGTAAGTGCGCTCTGTAGTTTAAAACAGGTCTTAAGCAGCTCTGATTGTGTAAATTTAACATAATAAGATCTGCAGAGATAATTGTGTGTTTTTCCATGTTTAGCTCAGGATTAATATTATTGGTTGTTTGTTTTGTAATATCTGAGGCTGATTATGGTAGGAGCTACATGCTAATGCTACTGTAACCTCTGTTAGACATTATGAGCACCTGATTGTTCAACAAAACATGCAGACTAAATTAGGTTCTTTATAGCCTTTTATTTGAGGTTCCTCTTAATGTCACTGAATCGAATCTATTTGCATGTTTGAATTGTATTGGTATGAATTTGAATTGTTGTAAATAAACTAAATATAGAAAGTCAGACATTAGGAAGGTGTGGAGGTTCCTCCATCTTCTCAGTGTTAGTATTTCTTCTTCAGTGTTAGTATTTAGTTAATGTTTTATATTGATAATATTTATAATGGTAATATCACTTCTTTGGTGGTGGGTTTTGGTATTAAGTTGTTTACTAGATTGGGTGCACACATTTTAGTAAATGCTTGGTTTATTTAGAATATTAACTATTTTGTTTTTGGTTGAGTTGAAGGACTGGCTGGGAGGAGTTGATTGTAATTGGAACGAACCATCAGGCTGCGGGAAGCAGGAAATTTGATGTGGAAGACTCCTCCTCTCGCCCTATTGACATCTTCCTTTCGCTCTATTGTTATAATATTTACGGTGTTAGGTTGTTTTGTTTTATAGTTGTGTTAAAGTAAAATGTTGTGATTTGAATTTGTTATTTATGTTTATGTATTGGTTGTTTTTGTTTTCTTCCCCGCCCCTCCTTGTGTGTGTGTAGGCTAGCCTTTGTATATAAATTCCCCTGTGTGTTCATTGAGGATAGTCAGTTAGTCTTGTTTGTTGAGTTGGTATGCTGTAGTTGATTATTTTTTGGGCCAATTTTTCTTATATTTCTTTTTGAGATTTGCTGTAAAAAAAAATTTCTTTTGTTAAGCTTTTTTGAAAAATTAAATAGTTATTTTTTTATATGCCTTTGTCCTTGAGTTTGCTGGTCGGACCATCACAGAAGGGTTTACTTACACCTTTGGGGTGACGGAAACAGACGGTGTTTTCCACAATGATCTGCTCTGTTTAAGAAAGAGGAAATTTAAAGATGTTGAACATATTCTGTGAATCTGACAAGTTGAACAGGTACACATACACACAGTAATCTTTTTGTCCTGAAATTATTTTCTGGATGAAAATAATTAAATGTACCTTAAAGTTTTCAGTTTCCAGGTCGGATCCTGCAGTCCAGCGGTAAAACCATCAAGGCCCGATTCTCCAGGATGGTTAAAGCTCAGGTCAAGCTCCCTCAGATAAGAAGGGTTGGAGGTCAGAGCAGAAGCCAGAGAAGCACAGCCTCTCTCTGTGACCAGACAGCCTGACAATCTGCAAATATTCATCAAGACATATTGTTACATCAACAACTTATGAATAAGTGTAAAAATCCAATCTAAAAATCATACACTGAAAGAATTTGCCTTTGCGCTGGTTTTTCTTCAGGGTGTTCAAATGTGCTGTTGGTACCAGGATACCTGAGGTTGCAGTTTGATGAATGACTGTTTCATTTTTATCTGATCTGTGGCTGAATGTCCTGGTGGTGATTTGTCTCCAATGGAATTAATATTCATTCAGTTTAATAGATGAACTCTCACTTTGTCCAGCCATTTATTGCTTTGTGTACAAAGGGATTTGGCATCTTTATCACACAACAGCAACAACAACAACAAAAAAACACATCCGCTATGTCCTGGTGCGCTCCACCAATACTTTGGCCTGCCGGGATGGTAATGTAATTATTTTCCGATTTGTCTGTAAAGCAATCAACTACAGCAACTCGCTGCGTTTCCATCTGGATGTGCTTGACTCTCCCCTGCACCTGTATGCAAACATCCACCTTCTCTGAGTCGAGCCTTTGAGTGGGGGAACAGCTCCTGTCCCAATGGAGCAGGGGTGGGCACTCCTGGTCCTCGAGGGCCGGTGTCCTGCAACTCTTGGTTGTCTCCCTGATCCAACACACCTGAATCCAATAGCTGAATCACCTCCTAAATGCAATCAAGTTCTCCAGAGTCCTGCTAATGACCTCATTATTTGACTCAGGTGTGTTGAAGTAGAGATAAAAGTTGCAGGAGACTGGCCCTCGAGGACCTGGAGTGCCCACCCCTGCAATGGAGGAATTTAAGTGTCTATGGGTCTTGTTCACAAATGATGGAAAACATAGAATGGGAGGTGCACAGGTGGACTAGTACTACATTTGCAGAAATGCACACTCTGTGCCGGTCTCTTGTGGTATAGAGACAGCTGAGCCAAAAGGTGACGCTCTCAGTTTATTGATCATCCATGATCAGCTTTGGGAAGCTTCTAAGCTTCCTCAGTGGGTGCTTGGGCTCTGTTTGAGAGATAGAGTGGTTAGCTGGACATCTGGGAGGGGCTCAGACCAGAATCACTGCTTCTCCACATTGAGAGGAGCCAGTTGAGATGGCTTGTGCATCTGGTTTGGATCCCTACCTGGTGAGGGGTTCTGGGCATGTCCCATGGAGACAAGACCCAGTGGAAGACCCAGGACTCACTGGAGAGACTATGTTTTCCTCACATTTGGATTCCCCCAAAAGAGCTGGGGAGAGGGACGTCTATGCCCCTTGCTTAGGCTGCTTCAGCCATGACCCAAATTTGGATAAGCAGAAGACGATGTTGGACGGACAGACGGAGGATAGATGGATGGATGGACGGATGGATAATAGGCAAACCGGCCTCTTTTCATCTTAGGAAATGGCCAGTTCTCAGTTGTTTCAGTGGTATTAAATTTTCTTATTAAAAATACAAAGAATGGAACAATAATGTTATTGTTTATTTCCTCAATCTTCCAAATACTCACCTGAGAACCTCCAGTCTACACGTTGGACTCCTGAGTCCATAAGAAAGCAAATCTACTCCTTCATCATGCAGGTCATTGTCACTCAGGTCCAACTCTCTGAGGCAAGAGTTCTCAGCGGTTAGCATTGGCACCAGGAATATACAGCTTCTCTGCGACAGGTTACAGCTAACAGCCTGAAAGATAAGCTCCAGATAAATACTTTTTATCTTTTTCTTTTAAATAAATAGTAAAACTTTCTTGAACTTTGTGTGATACATACAGAGACTTTTTTGATGCATTCATCACTGGTGTTAGCCACCGAAGGGCTTCCTTTGATTTGCAGAACTTCTTAAAGTCAAAAACATCGAACACTTTTTGTGAAGACAACAAGACAAAAATCAGTGCTGACCACTGAGAAGAGGTGAGGTCTTTTTCCAGGACTTCTCCACTCAGGTACTGTTGAATCTCTTCCTCTAGGGAATGGTCATTCAGTTCACTCAGCCAGTGAAACATCCGCTTTTCTCAACTGAAGGACTATCCCTGATATTTTTCTTGATGTGTTGGATAAGCATTTTTTGAACCTGTGGAACATTTTTGGTCTTTTTCCACAGGCCTTGCAGGAGGTCTTGGTTAGTTTTCAGTGAAAGCCCCAAGAGAAAGCGGGTAAACATGTCCAAGTATCCATCTGGACTCTCCAAAGCCTTGTCAACTGCACTCTGGTAAAACTGTTTAAATTTAGATTCAGGTTGCAAAGCACTGCGACTTCTTTTCACCAGATTGTCCCCAGCCTTCATGAACACCAAGAAGACATAAAGTGCAGCCAGAAACTCTTGAATGCTCCGATGGACAAAACAAAACAGCCTTTTTTGGTTCAGTATGCTTTCTTCCTTGAAAGTCTCTATAAACACTCCTGGGTAAGTCGAGGCAGTGTTTATGTCAATGCCATACTCTTTTAGGTCCTCTTCATAAAAGAGCAAGTTTCTTTTTTCCAGCTGCTCAAAGGCTAGTTTTCCCATTGAAACAAAGATTTTCTCAGTCTCTGAATTCCAGATGCCATCAGTCAAAACGTTTTTGCGATACTTGGCATTGTCCTGTTTGACCTGCACAACCAAGAAATGGATATACAACTCAGTCAGGGTGTTGGGCAGCTCTGTTTTCTCTTTATCTTTCAGGACCTGATCCAGAACTGTAGCAGTGATCCAACAGAAAAACAGGAATGTGACACATTGTTGAGGCTTCTTGAAGTCCCAATATGAGAGATGATTTTACTGGCCAGTTCCTTGTCTTGGAGTCTCTTTCTGAAGTATTCTTCCTTCCGCTGGTTTGTGAAACCTCTGATTTCTGTCTCACTGTCAACATACTGAATAGGGATCTGATGGACTGCCGCGGGTCGTGTGGTTATCCAGAGACGAGCTGAGGGAAGTAGCTTCCCTCTGATGAGGTTTACGAGTATCGTGTGGACTGAGGAGGGTTCTGTAGCATCTGTCAGAACCGGAGTGTAGTGGAAGTCCAGAGGAGGTTGAAGTTCATCCAGACCATCGAAGATAAACATAATCTGGAACTCTTCAAAGCTACAGATTCCTGCTTTTCTGATTTCAGGAAAGAAGTGATGAATGAGTCCCACTAAGGTGATGTTTTGAGATTTCAGCAAGTTGAGCTCTCGGAAGGTGAATGGGAAGATAAACTGTATGTTGTGGTTGGCTTTACCTTCAGCCCAGTCCAAAGTGTACTTCTGTGTCAAGACTGTTTTCCCAATGCCCGCGGCACCTTTGGTCACCAGCGTTCTGACTTCTTCGTCTCTTCTAGGTTCAAAAACATCCTCACAGCTGACGGTTGTTCCTGGATCTTCTGGTTTCAAGGATGCTGCTTCAGTTTGTTGGACCTCATGCTCATTCTTGACCTCTCCTTTCTCTTGCTCTGTGACATTAAGCTCAGTGTAGATCTGATTTATAGATATCAGTTTTCCTCTCCATGAATTACCTTCAAATAAGTACTGACACCTTTTGGCCAGGCTGGACTTTAATTTCACCTGACAAATAGCAGCTTGAGTTCCTGAAACAGACAACATAAGAGCTTGTTGTGAATATGAGGTAAATACACAAAATAAAAACCATCTCTTCTCAGCTCGGGATTACTTTATTGATCCAGATGTGAAAGCCAAGTCACCATCATGAGACATTATTAAAAATGAGAATGTGATGATTTCTCACTGTTTTGTAAAGAAACAGCCAGCTGCTTCTCATTCCGTCTCTTCAGGAAGTTCAGTGTGATTTTCAGGAATGAATCTCTGTCGTCACTCCTTTGCTCTTCATTCCCAGATGTTTGATCATCCACTTTAGGGCAACTGGAGCCCTCTGGGCTCAGCATGGTCTTCATCTTCTGCAGCTCAGTTCTTACAAAACTCATAATGTCATTCTCAAGCACCTGGAAAAGAACAAAAATCCAATGACACCCTTTTTTCCAATAAAAATTTTAATGCTGTCTCATTTCATGCAAAATACATCTTTTAAATAAATAACATTATAAGATGTTCAAAACTGTGTGTGTGTTTTTAGGTCGGAGGAGGATGAATCCTTCATGCTACAATCTCAGCACCAGGTCAAAACATTTGGTTTTTCTTTGCATAGTTGCACCGCCTGGTCTGGTATTCTGCTTGGCTGTGATACCAGCCTGGACAGAATCATTGGCTAAGATAATACTGCCAACAACTAAACATTTTTCCTTTCTGGCTGTTCATTTTTTACTTTGCATTAAAGTTCTGCAGGAGGACTCTTCCTGTTAAAGAGGAGTTTCCTCTCCAATGGTGCTCAGAATGAATGATTGGTGTAAAGTACCTGGCTTCAGATGAACTGAACACGTACAGTGTGTTTCCTACTTGTCACCTGTTTTCTTTGATTATTGACAGATTATGACCATCAGCTCATGATGATCTTTTCTACACTGTCACTGTTGTTTTTGCAGTGACTGAAACTACTGCCAGTAAACACCAACAATGTGAACAAACAGGTTTTAGGTCTTTAAAAGCTTGGGACTTTCCTGATGGGAAATCTGATGTGAACCGACTCTTTAAAGGTCATATGGTCAAAAGGTCAAAGGTCAATTGAAATATAGCAAAAAGTTAAACCATTCGAGAAAGTTTACTTATGTGCTCTGTGGACCATTCAGTTTGTCCTGAACTCAACTGAAACTAAGCTGAAAGAAAACCAAAGACAAAATGTGTGTGAGATCTGAAGAAATAAAACTGTACTTATACCTTGAAAACAGAATCCAGGTGTTCTTTATGGTCTCTAACAACCTCTGACCTCTGGTTAGAGAAAGTCGACAGGCGAGCCAACCTGAGATATGAAAAGAAATGGAGAAAGGCCACAGATTACAGACAAACATTCATTGTTTTGGTTCATCTATGAATAGTTGTAATAAAAAGCTACCAGTCTGGTTTTATCCGGTTTATTTTTATTTCTTAAATGGCCTTTTTTTAGCCATTTATGACGCAAGAGCAGCCATGACATTTCATATTTATTGCCATGTCATCCATCTAATGCTGTACTTTTAGACACAACCTAAACATTAATTCTAGTTTTGGTTTATGTAATGAATTTGTATCATAATCCCAGTTTAAAAGGCATTAATATTTGTGATAAAGTCTTACATTTCAAGAAGAGAGGGGCCTCGTCTCTTGGGTTCAGTCGATTCATCTTTAGATTGCTCAGTAACTGGTTCTGGTGTCTCCCAGCCCATTTGGCTTCAAAATAATATGAAGATTTATTAGTTGTGTTTAAAAGTTAAAAGTAGTTCAAACACATACATTTCAAATGTATTATTTTAAATGCTGGTAAAAGTCAATAGCAGCTACATTGTTCTCACAAAGGTTGACTTTGATAAATCTGGTTTCTGCAAAAACATTTGGTGTCAATATAACATAAAATCTAAATATTCACAAATAGCTTCAATTAATACTTGTTCCACATTTTAAAAAATCCCCTAATAAATCGCTGCTGGTCCATTTGTTTTTGACGCAACATAAAACTGGTCAAAAAAAGTTTGACCAGTTTTAAGTTTGATCTTTTTGACAAATCGGTGCACTTTCTTCAAGCTGAGTGAAATTTTATAACAGTTAAGAAATCTTACATTGGACTTTCAGATGAACCATTGCTGAAATCAATTGGTTCAACTTTAGACCAGTCAGTCGCCATGGAGACACAGCTTGACTCTGGGCTGAACAAAATGAACAGATAACATTTATGTTAAATCAGAACTAAGCGCTGAAGAAGTGTCAGTAAAAGACAAAATTCATATTTTTATATTCTTACCTGCAATCTGTAGCATATTTGTTCATTTGTGCCGACACAATCGCTTTAGGGGAAGATTTGTTTTCCTCCATTTCCTCGTTTGAAAGGACTGTAAACCTTTGGCAAATATCAGATGATTTATCATTATAAAAATAAAAATAAATTATTTACAACTAAATAAAAACAGCTTAAGCAGTTAAGGATTCCTACCTGGTTTAATCCACGTCAGAACAATAAACCGGTGTAAAATAGACCATCGTTTCTCCAAAGAGTCAATGAGTCTGATTTCCTTGTCACTCTGGTTAAACCAGTCAGTCACATGGACTTTTACCTGTTTGTGCCTGATGTCAGGAAACAATGTCAACAAATTTTGAATACTATCACTTGCAGTCCTCAAACTCCAGTCCTCAAGGGCCGGAGTCCTGCAACGTTTAGATGTGCCGCTGCTGCACCACCTGAATAGAATAATGAAGTCATTCGCAAGGCTCTGGAGAACTGATCCACACAAGGAGTTAATTAAGCCATTTCATTCCAGTGTTTTGTACCTGTGGCACATCTAAAAACTGCAGGACACCGGACCTTGAGGACTGGAGTTTGACACCTGTGAACTAGAGCATAAATCAAGCAAACATTAAACCATGTAAAAAAAAAAATCACAAAATTATTTTTGCAATTTTTTACTTTTAAGCAAAGTAAAAAATGATTTAGTTGAAACATATACACACATACATAGTGCAGTATGTAACTTCATAATTCATTTATTATGACATAAGTTAAAAACTGCTGTTGACTGTCTAAAAAATGGTGGATGGCTTCCAGAGGATCATCAACATGAAACTGGGCCAATTTTGATTTCGAGGTACTCAGTAGGTTTAAACAAATTCTGTGAAT